ATACTTGCGGCGGCATTTATAATGACTGACCCAGTCGACTTCAGATTCCCTCGAGTGATTATTTTCCACTGCAGTCGATTCTTACCAGAGTTGCAAACAAAGTTTAGCCAAATGTTAACTGGAGAGCGTGACATACTACTCATTAATTTACATTGTGCCACCGTGTCGTCAGCTGATTATCCGGACACCATTCAGGTAAGCTGGTAAACCAGTGGTCGGTGCGGCATCTAACCAATCCCTCTTGTTTCACAGGTATGGAGGCAGAGGTGAATAACTAGATTTCCGGCTGACTATAGTCGTCTGTCGAATGTACAAGGCAAATTCGGGGCATTGTGCGTGAACATTGTTAGTCAAACAGTTATAGACGGAACATATAATCGAAACCGCTAGTCGACGCCTCACATCCTTATAGAGGAGGTAATTATAAGAAAGGCTTCCGTACTCTCAACTTTCACTTGCAGATTCAACCTGGTCGATTCCAGAGGTTCTGGAGGAGACGCACTTGTTTGACTAGTCTGATGTCCTTGCCTTGTCCATTTGGTAGAAATTTTAACTGGAGGTAAAAGCTGTCAAATAATAAGGATGTTACCCGGATAAATATGTTCGACCGCAGCGCCCTAAAACCGCCCTTCTTGCTTTAAAGAAATTTCTGTTCAGCTCTTCCACCTGCTTGTGGACCAATACGCAGTATGTTTGCGAGGACGTTTGGTAGCATTCTTGCCTCATCTAACCCTATTGTGTACCGATTGGTTTACCAGCCTGTATTTGCTTACTCAGTTTGTCTCATAGGTCAAACATATTGACGAAAAAACATAATCCCGAAGGAAGCCAAAAGTAAAGTCATAAAATCTACATCCCTTGCCATTTACTTGGGTTTCGACCCCCTATTCTATCTGTGCAGTCTTATTGGAAACAGTAGACTACCAGAACTTGCTCTGTTAAATTTTGCGACCGTCCTACCACCCGCACCGCTCTCGCCGTGATTCATGAAAATGCGTGGCCATTGCTATTTGACGGTCTGTGAAGTGTTCTCATCACGGCTTTTGGTTATTATCCTGGCCCCAAGACAGGAACCAAAAGAGCCTACGTAATGGCAGGTCATTATCAGCATATAGCCATGTCAGCGACTTTTGTGGTATGTGGTACATCATGTTCACCTAACGCGTCGTA